CCACATACAACCCTATTTGCAAACTTATAAAACCAAGCACCATTTTACTAAATTGTGCATGCTACAATTCTAGCTAGTGTCGATGATGTAGATTTTTCCCCGGTGACTAATTAAATCCCCGAAAAGGTTATGTCTATATCTATATGCAAATGCTGAATTAAATGTTTGTGTATATGTTATCTCCATAATATTGGTACTCCAGGATGTGGTACCGTGTGCGTGCAAGTGTACAGTTAATCACTCGCTCTTTGAACTGTACTAGTTGTCCAACACCAGCTTGTGTATGGAGATGAAACGAAAACGGCAGTGTACATACGTACCAGGCCACGGTGGACCTGTAGTGGCTGTGATGGAAGGACCATGCCTTCATTCCACCCAACCCCGTCAAGTTGCGACTCCCGCTTCATATAAAAACCTCGCTATGTTTTGCCATGTTTTTTCAAATACGAATAATCAAATTTGCTTGTTTTTTTTGCAAAATAAGTGTCCTAGCGGTAGAACAGTACGTTCTTCAGTAAAAAGATGATGTTTAATAAATTATGTTCAGCTCTGAATGAATAAAAACGAAATTGATGTGTCTACTTCCTAATTTTATGATATATGTATCATGTTGTTTTAACATTGTGTCACTGCGCAGGTCATGCCCTTAGGCCGTGTAGGTTCACCATACCACATGTATGATACAAACATCTAATATGGAAGGGGCTATTAGGCCATAATACATGCATAAAGATCCAGAAGAAAAAATGCACGTTCATGCAATTTCAACCAAAAAATAAAAAATAAAACAATGCACATGCAATAGCCTCGCTTACTTTTCAAAGTCTTTGTAGTTATGCCATCAACCTATCATCGACATCAATTCACCTCACCCCATAGGTCCACATACAACCCTATATGTAAACTTAAAACCGAGCACTGTTTTACTAAATTGTGCATATTGCAATTCTAACTAGTGTCGGTGATGTAGATCTTTTTTAGGTGACTGAAATGCCCGGAAGCGTTATGTCTATATCCATATCCAAATCGTGAATTAAATATGTATATATGCTCTACATACATTGGTACCATTTCGTAGTTCCAGGATATGGTACCGTGTGCGTGCAGGTGTACAATGACCGACTCTCCTACTGGCTAGCTGTCCAACACTCGCTTGTGTATGGAGATGAAAACGGCGTTGTACGTACCATGCTACGGTGGGCCTGTGGCTGTGATGGTGGGAAGGAGGACCATGGTGAGGCGATGCGTTGCATGTTACCCCAAACTTGTGACCTGTGATATTGGGGGGTTGGGACCACTACCTAGTCAAATAAATTTGCTAATTATAAACTTGCTAAGTAAACTTGCTAATGTTTTTGTTGCTCTTTGGTCTGATTAATCTTGGCAAATAAATTTAATGATTAAACTTGCTAAATAAGCATTTTTGTTTAAGTTGTTTGTTGCTATTTTCTAGCTATGTCGTTTTAGTTGCTACTTGCTTATGTTTAATAAATAAAGTTAATATTGTGACGCGGAAAGTGCACCGAAAGGCATCTATCCAAGATATGTTTGCTACACTAGCCCGTGCGCTAAGAATAGACACTCAGTCCGAAGCAAGCCTTTGGCCTGCGGGTAGTAATTTTTAAGCGTGACCGATAGACTCTATAGTAATTGTGTGGGACATGACCGTAGGTGCTTCGGCTCATTATACCTGAGACCCAATACAAACGTATAATTGAAGGTTCTATAGTAATTGTGTGGGACATGACCGTAGGTGCTTCGGCTCATTATACCTGAGACCCAATACAAACGTATAATTGAAGGTTCTATAGTAATTGTGTGGGACATGACCGTAGGTGCTTCGGCTCACTATACCTCAGACGCAATACAAACGTACAAGTGAAGGAGCTATAGGCCACAAGACATGCTTATAGATGCCGGGCGTGTCGATTGCCCTGCCACCTGGTAATTAGCACATGTTAAAAAAAAGTAAACTTGCTCCAGAGATTGCAACAAAAAACAATGTGCATGCTACATCTAGTTGCAATTGTCAAATTTCTAAGTTTCAAATTTCTCCAGCCTCGCCTACTTTCCAAAGTCTTCCTTGCGTCTAGTTATGTCAGCAACCAATCATCGACCTTCATTCAGCTCACCCCACACGTCCACATACAAACCTACATATATACTTAAAACCGAGCACCGTTTTACTAAATTGTGCATGCTGCAATTCTAGCTAGTGTCGGTTATGTAGATTTTTTTTGGTGGCTCAGATCCCAGGAAACGAAACGATATATCTATATGGATATCTACATAGTGAATTAAATGTGTATGACTAAATACATAGTCCCTCCGTCGGGAAATACTTGTACGAGAAATGGATGTATCTAGATATATTTTAGTTCTAGATACATTCATTTGTATCCATTTTCAAGACAAGTATTTTCGGACGAAGGGAGTACTACTTTGGTATCATTGGATAGTATTGGATTCGTGCTTCAATCAACTCACCCAAAAGTTTGGAGTAAATTGCATAAAACCACCACTTTGAGGGCTACATTTGCAAAAAATACTAGGATACATTTTCGCTGCAAAAAGCACCACATCTCGCGTAATGGTCTTGCAAAAACCACTGATCGACGGATCTGGCTCGTTTAAGTGCGTTTATGACAGATGGGTCCCACTTTTCGCGTGGCATAATGCTTTACCAAAAAAATGCTAGATGGGTAAAAAAGCAAAAACACCCCGAAACAATTTTCCCCTGTGCAGCCCAGGGCCTTCCATGTCCGCTGTCCGGCGACCTTAGTCAGCCACCGCCGCGCTCCCGCCCTTGCCTGGCCGGTCGTGCGCGCCCCTCCCCGGCCTGCCGTGTGCGTCCATGCCCGGCTTGCCGTGCGCCCCCATGCCCGGCCGGCCGCGGGCGCCCCTGCACGGCCGCGCTCACCTCCCTGCCCGTCCATGCGCGCCCCTGGCCGGTTGTGCTCACTTCTCTGCCCCGCCGCGCCCGCAGCCATACTAGCTGCGCCACCACACTGCCGCCCTGCTCCACCTGCACATCGCTGCACTGCTTCCCCCATCTCCCTGGATCGGTCACGAGCTCAGGAGGACGGCGGCCATGGCGGGAATACGAGTGGGGTGCTGGAGCTCCACCCTGCTGCTTGCTCTGGTGCGCGCCCCGGCTTCCTTCCTACTCGCGCTCGTGTGCGGCGGCCGCTGCACTCGCTCCCGTGCACCTTCTGCTGCTCCAGTGCGCGCGCATGTACCTCCCTACTCGCACATGTGTGCGGCGGCGGCCACCACCGCTGCTCGCGCCTGTGCACCTGTGTGGCACAGACTGGTCGGCAGGGAGGTTGAAGGGCGAGGTGGGCGGTTGCAGGCCTCGCCGACTGGGGAACGAGAGAGGATGGAGGAAGGAGATGGGAAGAAGGGGACGCACTGTGGAGCTGATTGCTTTTTTATTTTTTATTTAGGGGTGTATGTGCAAAACCTATGGACTAGTTTGTAAATTTAGACTAAAATTGATCTAGTGCGAAATATTACGCCACGTAGGCAAAAAGGGGGCCCATCTGTCATAATCTCACTTAACAGAGTCAGATCCGCCGATCAGTGGTTTTTGTAAAACTATTACGCAGGACGTGGTGTTTTCTGCAGAAAAAATGTATCCTAGTGTTTTTCGCAAATCTAGCCCTCAAAGTGGTGGTTTCATGCAATTTACTCAAAAGTTTGAGAAGGTGATGATACCGTGTGCATGCGTGCAGGTGTACAATTAATCACTCACTCGCTCTTGTGCCGTAGTAGCTGTCCAACACCAGCATGTGGTATACGTATGGAGATATAAGATGAAAACGGTGGGGCTGCATGCAAGGACCATGCGAGCAAGATGCGATGCGTTGCATGTTACCCTCTCTTGCAAGAGGGTTGCAATTGGGGGTTGGGTTGGGACCTCTCTTGCAAGAGGGTTGCGCACCACCTTCTCTCTACCTCGCCGTGAGCGTGAGGACCCACCCTAGAGCTGTTCTAGTGTGGCCTTGTCCCTCCCTCCCTCCTCCCATCTCCCACGATCCGATCCATCTTTTCCTAGCCTCCATTATTTTCTTCCACCCATTCTTTTCTTCCATCTCGTACATCGTCGTCTCCCTCCCCTCCCAGCGTCAAAGCCACAGGGCAGTAGAATTACTGTGGGTGGGTGTCGTGGAGCCGAGTAGAAGACGACGTACCAGGGGTGAAGAAGAAGAAGAAGAAGAAGAAGAAGAAGACCGCCATTTCTACCTCCCCAACCTCCCATCCATCCTCCTCCTCCACCGCCATTTTTATACTAGTATTTAGTGCGGACCTCCCAGCTGCTACAGTCCTATACCACTATTCATTCATCGATCCATCCATCTCACTAGCACTAGCACTAGCAGGCAGCTTCTCTCTCTTCCCCATGCGCCATGCCAGCCTAGACTAGCTATACACAGCCACTACTTATCTCACTCCCACTCCTCGCAATATCTTCTTCTTCTTTCTTCTTCTTCTTCTTCTTCTTGCAAGAGGGTGCGCGCGAGCAGCTTCTTTCCCCCGTTTTCCTCGCCGCTCCCACCCTTTCCAGGTGTGCGCGCGAGCAGCTTCTTCATGCATGCACTGCTCATGGCTCCGCACTCCCACACTAGCTGCCGCCTAACATCACCCCAGCAGTGAGCACCGCAAAATTCCTGCTCAATTTCCCTCACCAGTGGCCGGCGAGTGAGGGGAGGGCCGGAGCCATGCAGCAGCCGGCCGACATGCCGCCCTTCTCCCCGCCCGCCGGGGCGCCCTCGCCCATCAGCAGCCGCCCTCCCGCACCGGCTCCGGCGCCAGCACAGCACCACCAGCAGCAACAGCAACACATGGACGAGCAGCACGGTGGGGCCGCGGTCAGCGGGTCGGGCTCCGGGAGCGTGGACGGCGGCGAGGAAGGCGAGCGCGGCGGGTCGTCGTCGGCGGCGGGCGGCAACCGGTGGCCGCGGCAGGAGACGCTGGCGCTGCTCAAGATCCGCTCCGAGATGGACGCCGCCTTCCGGGAGGCCGCCCTCAAGGGCCCGCTCTGGGAGCAAGTCTCCAGGTACGTTACTCAACACTCAACCCAACCTCCATGCCATGCCAATTTAGCAACCTCCAAGCTATAGATCGATCGACGTCCCGATCCGTGATGGATGGATGTCTCAATTGTGCATGAGAAAAATTTCACTGTCCAACTGGGATGGATGGATGTGATGTGTGATGTGATAATTTGATCGAGTTTTCCCAATTAAAAACCATACGCACATCGCTCTCCTCCTCCACTTTTTTCCTTTCTTTTTCCTCGGATTTGCGCCCGTCAGTCAGATCCACTTCAGTTTGGAGACGAGGCATCAATCCCAATACTTAATCCCTCCATCTGCGTCCTGAATTTGGGGCTTTTCCTCGCACCTAATCGGGCTAAAAACCGCGCCTTTTCCGTGAGAGCAACACGTATGCAATTCAGATCGATCATGCAAAAGTGAAGTGAGCTCGTGTGAGTCATAAAATGGAGGTTAATTGTTGTGGTTGGTGTTCGTCAATGGTGTGCTGTGCAGGCGGCTGGCGGAGATGGGGCACACGAGGAGCGCCAAGAAGTGCCGCGAGAAATTCGAGAACGTCGACAAGTACTACCGCCGCACCAAGGACGGCCGCACCGGCCGCGGCGACGGCAAGACCTACCGCTTCTTCACCGAGCTCGAGGCGCTCCACGGCGCGCACCACCCGCCGCCTGCTCACGTGCCCGTGGCGCCACCGGCCGCCCCAGCCGCGAGCACAATTGCCGCCTACTCCGCCGTGCCCTCGGCGCCGCGCGTCCTGCAGGCCGAGCCGTCTCCGCCGCCCCTTCTCCTAACGCATCAGCCGGTGCCAGCGGAGGCGGCTGCATGCCGGACGACGACGACGACGCCGATGGGCGACGCGAGCTTCTCTCATGACTCGGACGGGGAGGACACGGACGAGACGGCCGACGGCGGGAAGCGCAAGCGGCGGGGCGGGAGCGGGAGCTGGGGCCATGGCGGCAAGGCCATGAGGTTCTTCGAGGGGCTGATGCGGCAGGTCATGGAGCGGCAGGAGGCCATGCAGAGCCGCCTCCTCGAGGCCATCGAACGGCGCGACCAGGACCGCATGATCCGCGAGGAGGCCTGGCGCCGCCAGGAGGTGGCGCGCCTCGCGCGCGAGCAGGACGCGCTCGCGCAGGAGCGTGCAGTGGCCGCCTCCCGCGACGCCGCCGTCGTGTCCTTCATCCAGAGGATCACCGGGCAGATCGTCCCCGTGCACGCGCCGCCATCATCCTTCCCCGCAAAGCCGGCCGCCACCGTCACCTCGGTCAAACCGCCGCCGTTGCAGCCGACGCCGGTGGCCTCCGCTGCGCCGGCACCTCCCACGCCACGGCCGCCGGTTCAGGCGCAGCCCAACGTGACTACGCCAATGAGAACACAACCGCAGACGCCGCCGCCGCAGCCACAGCCACACGCAACGCCGACGGCGACAGAGCCACAGCCACAGACGCCGCAGCCGCAGCACCAACAGAGCAAGGAGATCGTCGTCCACGCCCCGGAGCAGCCGCCGGTGGACATGGCCGGCGGCGCGTCGCCGTCTCGGTGGCCCAAGGCGGAGGTGCACGCGCTGATCCAGCTGCGGACGGAGATGGAGACGCGGTACCAGGACACGGCGCCCAAGGGCCCGCTGTGGGAGGACATCTCGGTGGGGATGCGGCGGCTGGGCTACAACCGGAGCTCCAAGCGGTGCAAGGAGAAGTGGGAGAACATCAACAAGTACTTCAAGAAGGTCAAGGAGAGCAGCCGGAAGCGCCCCGAGGACTCCAAGACCTGCCCCTACTTCCACCAGCTCGACGCGCTCTACCGCACCAAGGCGCTCGCATCCTCCTCCGGCGTCCATGCACCGGCGCTGGCACCGTCGCCGTTCCCGGCTCGCGCGGAGGCCGCGCCGGTCACCGTGCTCTCGCCGGTGCCGCTGTCTTCCCAGACGCCGCCACCTGCGGCGCAGCGCGTCGAGCACGGGGCCAAGAACGTGATCATCAACGGCAACGGCCATGGGAACGGTGCGGCCATGCAAGTGAAGGCCAGCAATGGCGCTGGTGCTGCGGCGATGTTCCCCTCCCCCGTCCATGCCGCCGGCAACGGAGGCAACAACGGCACGGCGACGAACAAAGTGGTACGTAACTCTGTCGGCCCATACGTGCACGCGCATGCATTGTCAAATGTCAGTACGGTCCATCAATTCTGATCGATGCCATGGACACGCTTGTACCTTGAAGGAATCCAAGCCTGAAGGCATTGCGAAGGAGACGGCGCCGGTGCAGCCGGCCGTGGCCATGAACCACAGCTACGGGCGCAACGACAGGAGGGACGTGTACGACCTGGACAGCGACAGCATGGAGGAGGACGAGGAGGACGACTTCGACGACGACGACGAGGAGGAAGACCAAGACGGCGTCCCCGGCGGCTGCAACATTAACATGCCGCCGGCGCAGTACGACGCCCACTTCCTCCAAAGGCAGCATCAGCAACAACAACAGCAGAACCACAACCACGGCAACAACCACAACGTCGTCCGGCCCAACGCGGTGAACGGCAGCGGCAACCCGCCGGCGGGCAACGCCACACCTTCATCTGCCCCGGCGACAAGCGGGACGCCATTCCTGGGCATGGTCCAGTGAGGATCGAGCAAGACGACGACGAAGACAAGCTAGCGCTACAAACCAAGAAATCCCAGGTGGTACCGATCGATCTCGATCCCGCTCTCATGTGCCCATACGGATCTACATTTGCACATGCCCACTTGATGGATTGATACCCCCTGCCGGTGCGTGCTAGCTAGGTAAAAAAACCTAAACCCACACAGACCGATCGAGTTTTTACTTCTGCTCCTTCCAATCCAACAACCCTAAATTATTTCCATTATTGTTATTATTATTCCTGGTGCACATATATATATGGGCGGCGTATACATGATGTACATGTCACATATCTTCACCACACTGTACGTAGAGGCATGGTAAATTAAAAGGCGTGGGAATTTTTTTTTCTTATTTTGAGGATACTTTACCATTTTTGTCCAAAAAAATTACTGTCCAGTCTGTGTCATGTAAGAATTTTGTGCTCACTGTCCAGAACTTTACACTTGGTAAATGTGAAACCTGTTTTATATATTTATTCCAATTCATGCATGCATGCATCAGGGGCTGCTTCTTCAACTGTGGAATGTGCCTGGCACTCAGTTTTTAAAATGCTTGGGGGTACCTGACACTTGCTGTCAGGTACTAGTTAAAATGTACAGTATAATATGTGCAGTTGAACTGTGTTTATTCTCTAGGATCCAAAGTTAATTTACACGCTAGTTTATTCTTTTGGTTGGGTACTAGTACTCGTATAACCTAACAATTGGATTGGATGGTACATTACATGACCTGGCGGCATGCATGCAGGGAGTAGTTGCATGAGATGGAGCAAAATTAAGGGGGTGTTTGTTTCAGAAGTCCTAGGACTTTTTCTAGTCCCAGGAACTAGTTAAAAAAGACTCTTCAATAGAGTCTTTTTCTAGTTCATGTAGAAAAAGTCCCTCCCGTTTGATTCCTAAGGACTTTTTAGGGACTTTTTCTAGTCTCTGGGACTAAAAAGTCCCTAAACCAAACACCCCCTAAGTATTCGTCCCATCATGGTTTTCGGTGCGCCTGAATGTCTGGGTGGGCAGCTTGAATTAATTCAGCAAGTGTCTATTGTTTTTTATTATTATCATGAGCACGTAAATTGTGCACCATATGTTTTTATACTAGAAGACAAAAATATGTTACAAAAATAGCAGAAAAACAAGTTAGCCTAGGAGAAGCTTCAACAGCTAGGTTCCCTAAAATAAGGCAGTACCGCTTTTTACGTTACAAGGAGGCCAAAACGCCGTTTCAATATCAATTTTGCTAAATCATATCTAGATGTGCTATAAGTATTGCACATCTAAATCCTATGTCATTGATCTTATGTTGAGATTCGTGTAGATATTTTCTTTTTTATTTTTCTCTTTCTCTCTATGCTTAACTCACTCACTTAGATGTGCAATAATTAGAGCACATCTAGATTTGCCCTAGACACCCCCTTTCAATATATAGGTGCCCTACTATATGCCAAAAGTTTAACTCCAAATTTACAACACCTACACAATTTGCAACGGTTGGGGCGGCTGGGGCAAATTTTGCAATACCAAGAGTTGTTTACATCACTGTGTTGCCCTAAAATTGGGCACCCTAGCAGACTAAGGCATAGCCTAGTGGTGAGAAGGGGCTGATGCCTTCCCACCCACCCAGATTCAAGGCATGGTACTTGCAATTTGGGTTTATTGCACCAATTATACTGTAGGGGGTCCCTTACAGTCTTTATGTCAAAAAAAATTGGGCACCCAGAAAAGATAACCGTGATAAATTAGGTACTCCTTGCGTGCATTTTTGTTTGGAATTACTTGCAAGATTTTCAAATCGTTTCAGAAATACTCCCTCCGTGAAGAAATAGTGATCTAAATGCTTTCATATTTGTTTTTTTACGGAGAGAGTAGATATTACCTTCACTTTTGTTAGAAAATTGTGGGACTGGATACATTCAATTTCAACAAGAAAAAAAAGACATTTATCTTTTTATTACCTAAAAAACCATTGAGGGTAATTCTAGCAGGTGCCCGGTTGGATGGGTAGAAAAGTCAATTCTGGCAGGGATCGGGCGGGAGGGCGGTGGTGCATGCACGTGGCCCCGGATTTATGAGGCTGGTTGTAGTGGGAGTATCATAAGTAGTATCATGCATGCCAACTAGACTTTTTGAATGATGTGGCACACAATTAAATGAGGAAAGAGAGGATGTAGTATCATATCATGATACCATATCATATTAAATGATCTACTAGTTTGTGTCATGCATAGCAATTAATAAGATAATATAAGATACTAACTTATAATACTATGCATTACGGAGGTAGTATCACACACTAATATCATATGCATGATATTAGTATATAATACTCCCCGTTACAACCAGCCTGAAGGAAGGAAGGAGGATGCCTCGACGTCTGGGACAGTTTGGGACAGTTTAGCTGGTGTCATATATATACTCCTATGCATGCAGACGCAGGGTTTCAGTTTAGCTGGTGTCAGTGCCGTATGCGTCAGGCTTTGTCGTTGTAGCAGCACAGCGCAGTAGGTTCTATCCCTCACGAGTCACGAGAGCTTGTCTGCACGTATATATATATATACAAATACAAACCGACGTATGTAGGCCGCCGCTTGGACGTACGTATCCGAATCTGAGCCCACTGCCCTTTTTTTTACTGGTGCCCTTTTTGTTGAGCCCAGTTTGTACGTGTTATGTAACAACTTTGCGCTCTTGTAAAACTTTATGTTTAGTGTTAACGTCGACTGCGGAGACTATGAAGTTGGTAAGTTGGTGTGAAACTTGCTCTACGTACATATTAGAATTGATGCTTCTTCATCTGCGTGGAATGTACGTACCAGCTGGCATGCAATTGCCTGTCTGCTACTAGTAGATTATATACTTAAAATGTACTGTATGAGATGGAGGATAGTTAGTTGCACTAGTAGAATAAATATGCATGCGCCTTGAACGACTCTGTTTATTCTCTACATTTACAGTGACGTTCTTCTTTGGGTTGGTTAATTAGAGCAGGGTGTTTGGATCCAAGGAACTTATTTTAGTCTGACTAAAGCCCTGTTTGGTTCATAAGTCCTAAAACTTTTTTTAGTCCCAACTTATAAGTTTCAAGTCCTTAAAATGTTCATATCTGTTTGGTTGCTAGGACTTATAAGTCTCTATAAGATCATATTACAACTATAAGTCCCAATAAGTCCCTCCTTGAGAGTCTTATTTCATAAGTCCCAAATGCCCACTTTAAGTCTCTATAAGTCCCTCCTGTTTGGTTTAGATGCGACTTATAGGGACTTATTTAAGTCCCTAGACCAATAAGTCCTTGAAAACAAACACCCTTTAAAAATAGTCTATTTGAGAGGCTAAAATTTCAAGCACCCCTGACTAAAAAGAGGCTAAAACTAGTCTTGAGACTAAAACCTTTTAGTCAAGGGTACCCCTACTAAAATGTGAATTAGTCCTCTCCCTCCTCATTTAACCCCTCTCCTTTAACACAGCCGAGTTCTAGATTGAAGGGTTTGGAGGATAATAAATGCTCATTAACTTGATTTTAGTCTCTTTAGTATTTGGATCTAAACATGGATGAGGCTAGCAAATTTTAGTCCCATTACTTTTAGTCTTGAGACTAAAACGTATCCAACCACCCTCTAGGTCTCTTCATACTTTAGCCTAGCCATTGATGCTCGGCATGACCTGACCTGACGGCTTGTTGGGCAGCCCAACATGCATGCACTGCACGGAGTAGTAAGATCAATTACTCGTCCCATCATGACTACTACTGCTCTAATGCATACTTTTTCCGTTCCTAAATACTACTATAAATCTTTTCAGGGATTACATCTGTATGTTGTTCATATTGAGATTTCTAAATAAAAAACTTATAGTATTTAGAAATTGGGTGATACGTGGGAAAACCAATTACTCACACGTCCCATCATGGTTTTCGGCACTTAGTCTTTTACTTCCTCTTATGCATATTACTTTTCGTTCAAACAGATATATATGAAGATAGCGATAATTAAGTAATATGGATCAAAGGGACTACGGCTTATAGCTAGGACTAAAATTTTCGGTGCTGCCTGCCTGCAATGGCTAGGTGGGGCGACTTGTGTTACCGTAGGCCAGTTTGGGTGTGTAGAAAAGTCAATTCTTGCGGAGACAATCGCGTACCTTAGATTTATAGAAGGCAGAAACATATGTATGAGCATGCTGCCCTGAGTCTAGCGCCAACTCCCAGTCCTCGGTTCCCTCGTCAGTGCCGGTGCCGGAACTGCGAGTGCCGCACAATGTCATTTTGCATTTGCCTGTGCAATGTCTCGTTCCACCACCTTGCATTATAGATGCCACGACGTGCCAAGAGGGTACGCTTTGTCTTTTCACTTGACTTCATTATCATGATATACTCCCTCTGTTCTAAAATAAGTGACTCGATTTTGTACTAACACAGAACAGAGGGGTACTAGCTATCGCACGACGGAAGGTTATTACTCCGAATGCAGTGGACCTCCGTCTGCTCCGAAAACTACAGGGAACTATACTTCAGTCCATTGCATTAGGACTTCATCATAAATATAAGGACAAGAACACGTAACCCCAAAATCATTAGCGTCCAACAATCAGCGACTCACAGTCAAGTCACAGGGCGACGCGAACGAAAGAGCATCTCCAACAGGTGTCGGTCACGCCGTGCGCAAAAAACTGATATGCCGCGCGCGTATCGTCAGGTTTGGCGCGGCGCGCAGCGCCAAAATGCAGCGCGAGCGCCGCTTCAGCAGCGCGCGCGACTCGCCGGTGTATTGCATATGGCATTTTCAACACAAAAATTTCACACAAACAAGTTGATGAAGTTCATGTCCACGAGTTTAAAATCATGCCCACAAGTTCATCCAACGAAGTTCAAAATGCAAATCAAGTTCAATACACAAATGAAAGACACATCATTCCTCGTCCTCGTCTTCATCTTCGGAAGACGATTCTTCCGCCTCCGAAGATGAATCTTCCTCCCTCTCCTCATCGCGC